TAGAATCACATAAGACCAAGAATAGATCTCAGAGCTCTGACAAAAGTAATGACAGGAAATGGATTGTGTAAATGTGTCAGGGCTGGGCTACTGGAACAAAGCAAGGGACTCTGTGCAGGGATGGGGGGAGTATTTGCAGCATGGCTCCAGTTGGATGCAGGACATCCCATCTCTGGCCTCGTGTATGAGTGTGATCCAACTGATGGCTCTAATGAGACCACATTTTCTAATTTCAACAAATAAACCCTTAAAAGCTTGAAGGTTTGGAGATAAAGCTTTCAGTTGAAACAATAATAGCTGCCTTTGGCTGCCTGCCTCCTTTGTGCCAGGAACTTTCTGTTATCTCATTTAAGCTTCTCGGCAACCCTGTTGAGACAGACAGTGTATCCCATTTTGTAGAGAGGGAAACTGAATTTCAGAGACATTAAGTAACGTGTGTAAAGTTTCACAACTTGTAAGTCGAGGCACTGGGACTTCAAGCCAGGGATGTCAAACTCCACTGCCCATGAAAACTCTATTTTGCTGCCTTCCAAACAAGCAATCTAAAATGCATTCTGCAGATGACCCAGTTCATTAGACCAGCTGCAGCCTTTGCAACAGTTTAGTTGTTATCCTGCCTTTATTCCTATTATCTCATTTTTAAAAAAATGAAATTAATAATATAATTTATAGAGCAACTTAAATACCAGGTGCTGCGCTAAACACTTTCCACACTTTGCCTCATGCATCCTTCATGACGATCATTCTATGTATAAGGATATTGAGGATCAGAGAGGTGAAGAAACTTGGCCAAGGTCATAAAGCTAGGAAGTGACAGAGTGAAATTCAAACCCAGGGCTGGCTGAATTCAGAACCCATGTCTGTGCCCTACAACACAATGCAGTGGGGAAGACAAATGTGGTCTTCATTCTAAATGGGTTCCTCTCTGTCAGCCACAGCTCTATCTCTTTCTCACCACATGGGGTAGGCCAGCCCCAAGCACAACTCACACTTTTAAGCCCATGTACCTTAGGCCACTTCCTCAGCCTAGAATACTTGCCCTCACTCCTCTACGTAACAAGAGGCTATTCTATGCTACTCGATTAAGGGTTGAGTCATATGCCTCTTCTCAGGTGGAATAAATTGCTCTTGTTTTTTTGCTTCTATCTTTTTTAGCGTACCCTTTATTTTGTCTTTCTGTAGAGTTTAGCTCATTGCTGACCTGTCTCCCTTACTAGATTCCCAAGCTCTTGAGGGCAGGCACCAAATTCTATTCACTCTAGCTCCATGGTGGTTTACCCACAATGATGTAGTGGATGATCAATACATGTTTGTGAGTTGACCAAAGGACTGGCTGAGAGATGCCCCAAATGAACAGACAGATGCATTCATTTGTGGCTGGATCCTGGAGCAGTCACACAGGCTACGCATGTGGACTAGACTGGCTGGGAGAGTCTGGAATCCCCTGGGCTCATTTTACTAGGCTGTAAACATAGGAGGCACGTCATAGGGTACAGGTGATATCTGCTCAAGACCAATTCTAGGTCCATTCTGTGGTCTGTACTTTAGAATTCATGTGAAGGGGCCAGGCTCTCCTAGTTTGTTTATGTTGTGCCTTCTCATTCATGGAAGAAAGGGCTTCCCTGCCTCCCTTAGGAACACAAGATTCGTTCCCACATGTCACTTTATCTGCTTCTGGCTATTCTGAGAGTGTCCTGAAGGAGTATGTGCTCTGTGGAGACAGATCGTGATGTCCTGAAGCATTTTTTTGGATACTTTTTATCGAGGCCACCATGTTATGGATTCTCAACCACTTTATCTCATTTTATGTTATTAATCTCTGCCACAACGTTTTGAGGTGGGTCTGAATGTCCCTGTTTTGTAGCTGAAGAAACTGAGACTTAATGAAATGTCTTGCCCAAGATCACACAACTAAGTAAGTGGCAGAGGCAACATTCAGTGTCAGGTCTGTCTGCTCCCAAAGCCTGGCATCTTAACAGAAAATACATGGGAGAAACACGAACTGCCCCCTCCACCATAAAATGGAAAGGATTGTATTTATAAAATGGATTACATATTTAAGGTGAGATGTTTCTTAATTATTGTTCACCTTTAATCCCCCAAGATGATTTTTTAAAATGGCAGAAGGAGTTGGGAATTAAAAAGTACAACTCCTCTATCAATTATTGATCTGAATGCCCCCATATCAACACCCTCTGACAGATACCTTTTGGAGATGACTACAGATTATTTTGCCCTTTCTGCTCCATTTACAGTTCGGGTGGGTAAGTCTCCAAGATGTCATTGAATTTGTAATAGTCACACATCAAGTTAATAACAAAACTCGCTTAGAATACTGGTATCCCATACTACTCCGCCTGATTCTTGGCCTTGCTGGGGTAGCTGCAATAGTCAGGAGTCCTTGCACTGCCAAATTGTAGCCCAGTTTTCTTTCTGCTACATCATCCTACCTCATGGCATCAGTGAATACATGTTTATAAATGGTAGGGAGGAAGTGGAACATTATTGCACTGTGAGGTAGAAGAGGGGACAAACATGTACCTCACCACCTGTACTTATTTAGGTGCAGGTAAGAGTTGGGGAAGAAGACCTTTGGTAGGAGAGCTGAGGACCATTGGGGCTCCTGTGGATTTAGCAGCCTGGGTATCTGGGAGGAGTCCCCTTTGGCTCTGGAGAAATGGAAGTGGGGCTGCCAGGGGACAGAGGTGCCCCAGAGGGATGCAAATAGTTGGCCTCTTGAGCTTTTATTCCTGCTTAGTTCTCAGCTAAAGAGTCAAAGGCAGAGGGGCCCTCCCAGTGTACTGGCCATGAGCGTTAAGAAGGCTGAGGCTTAAGGCCATCATGGAATGTAGGGGAAGGGGAAGGTGGTGATGGGCAGAGCACAGGAGGCTGAGCCTCCATCTCCCTCCACCAAGAGGTGAGTTGGCTCGCTTGGAGGGGAGTGGCGGTAAAGTGAGATTGTGGGAAAATGTATAGAGCAAGGGGGAATAGGAATGAGATTATGGGGATATGGATGGAACAGGGTGGGATAGGAATGAGATTGTGGGGATATGGATGGAGTGGAGTGAGGTATAAGTGCGACTGTGAGCATATGAATGGAGCAGGGGGTATATAATGAGATTGTGCGGATGGAGCAGACAGGGGATAGGAATGGGGTTGTGGGGAGTTGGATGGAGCAGGGGGGATAGGAAGATTGTGGGGATGTGGATGGAGCAGGGGAAAAGTAATCAGATTGTGGGGAGTTGGATGAAGGAAGGGGCATAGGAATGTGATTTTAGGGAGATGGATGGAGGGGGGGGACAGGGATGGAGTTGTGGGGAGATGGAACAGGGGATATAGGGATGAGATTGCGGGGAGATGGAGTGGGGAGATAGGGATGCGATTGTGGGGAGATGGATGGAGGAGCAGGGATAGGAATGGGATTGCGGAGATGTGGATGGAGCAGGGGGAAGGGTCTAGAGAAGGGCAGAGCTGATGGGAGTGATTCTGGAAGGACAGCATGCCAAGGCAGATTCTGGGCCTGGCAGCCCCGGGAAGGCTGCACTGGGCTTCTTGCAGTGGGTGGTGTCTTGTCCCCCATCACCCTGCTAGCTTCATTAGAGTCCCAATCTTCATGCCCCCTGCCACATAGCCCAGGGTTCTGTGTGAAACCTGTGGGTCTGCAGTTCCTGCCAGGCTTCCTGTCCCTGTCACTGTAGATGGGAGCCCTCCAGCCTGGCCATCATGCCTCTTCCCCTCTTCCCTGTCCTTCTGCCCCACACCCACACAGCTCTGTGCTCCTTTCCCTGAGGTAACAGCTCTGGCTGCTGCACACCCTGTCTTGTCAGCCCAGGGACCCCCTCTTCCCTCCCCAGCAAATTCCCTCAGATCTGCATGAGCATTCTTTTTTTTTTTTTTTAAATCCCAAAGTTTCTTCATATGTCCTGGCTTCCAAGTTGCTTCTCATGCTAGACATCTGCTTCCTGGTCTTTCTGAAGTAAGGAGCAATAGTTCAGAGTCCTCGCACTGCCAATTGTATCTAGTACAGTGGTTCTGAGCCGGGAGCAGTTTTGCCTCCCAGGAGACCTTTGGCAAGGTCTGGAGATATTTTTGGTCATCACAGTGGGTTAGTCACCACTGGTGCTACTGGCACACACTTAGCTGAAGCCAGGGAGCCTCTGACCATCCTCTAATGCACAGGACAGATGCCAAGGATAAAAATTATCCTGCCCAAAATGTCAATAGCACTGAGGTTAAGAAACCCCACTCTATTATATAGCTATAGATCTGCAAGGTTAGGCTTGGAAATTGCCAGGTGCTGAGCCTTTAGGCACTGAACTTTCAGGAGCAACTGCTCTTTCCTTTCCTCACTTGCCAGATGGGGGCTGGGCGTTGCCATGAAACAGCTACAACTTGGGCAGGAATCTATGGAGAGAAAGGCAGGGGGAGATTCCTCCTCCCCAAATTTAATACCAACTTTTAGAGAAAGCATTGCACTTCAACCGTTAAATGCCTTTGTGCCTCTACAAGATAGTGCCAGTTTTTTTTTTGTGTGTGTGTTTTTTTTTTCTTTTTTGTTTCTTTGTGTTTTTTTTCCCCCTTGGAAACAGAATAGTAACTTATTATTCTCGTAATTTATAAAATGCACAGTTTCGTGTTGTGAAAGTTGATGCATTAAGTTTTGGAGTCTTCCCCTCCTCTGTTTCATGTTCGTGAGTTGTAATACTTCTTTGAATATTGGAATATTTGCTGTGTCAGCAAAGTACTGTAGTGGTGGCTCTGTCCAAAAAAAAAAAAAAAAACCAAACAAACAAACTGATTGCCTTTCTTTTAATATAAGGTTAATGAATTCTTAATTTCTTAAGGGTGTGCTTATTTATCAGAAACTGGCTCAAAGAGTTGCTTGTTTCCTTTGACCTGAGTTTTTTAGGATTTTTTTTTCTGACTAAGCAATGAAGATTCTTGCCAACAGATTTAAATGGTCAGTCTAATCTCTTTTTTTTTCCACCCTTGCCAGTTTCTTCCATCTGCTCCCAGTTGTCTTCAGAATGGGGGAGCAGAACCACTCTCCCAGGAATGAGCTTCAGCACAGGATGAGAGCAGAGGTTCCCGGAAAGAAAAGCTGGCACTCCCAGGCCTACGCCCTTGGTGCTGTTTCCAACTTTATGTCTACTTTTCTGACCTTTCCTATCTATAAGGTTGTGTTCCGGCAACAGATCCATGCCATGGCAGTGTCAGAGGCTGTGAGACAGCTTTGGCACGAAGGTCCTCAATACTTCTACCGGGGAATCTACCCTCCTCTTCTCTCCAAGACGTTGCAAGGGACTCTTCTGTTTGGGACTTATGATAGCCTGCTGTGCTCCCTTTCTCCTGTTGGGCCACACACTCTGGGACATCGCTGGGCTGCAGGGCTCATGTCTGGTGTGGTGGAGGCTGTGGCACTCAGTCCCTTTGAAAGGGTGCAAAATGTGCTCCAGGATGGTCGCAAGCAAGCTCGCTTCCCCAGCACCTTCAGCATTCTCAAGGAATTCAACTCTTACGGTCTTTGGGGGCGCCTGTCACTGGGCTACTATCGTGGTTTCTGGCCCGTCCTGGCCAGGAATAGCCTGGGGAGTGCTCTATATTTTTCTTTCAAGGACCCGATCCAGGATGGCCTGGCAGAACAAGGCCTTCCCTATTGGGTTCCTGCCTTGGTGTCTGGTAGTGTCAATGGAACAATCACCTGCCTAGTTCTGTATCCTCTGATTGTGCTGGTCGCTAACATGCAGTCCCATATTGGATGGCAGAACATGCCAAGCCTGTGGGCCTCTGCCCAGGATGTGTGGAACACTCGGGGCCGAAAGCTGCTCCTGATCTACCGTGGAGGCTCCCTGGTCATTGTAAGGTCAAGTGTGACATGGGGCCTCACTACGGCAATCCATGACTTCCTGCAGAGGAAGTCTCACTCCAAGAAAGAGCTGAAGACTGACTAGCTGCAGAAAGTGTGGCCGTGGCAGCTTTGGTATTCTAAATCTGCCCTGGTGGGTTCTATACTGCTTACTTCTTTGGCTCAGTTGCCTAATACAGCCATTCTTTAGCATCTGTAAACTCAATGCATGGGAGAAGTTCCTGACTACCAACCTGTTGAGCATGGACAAAGCCCAATAGGATTCCTTAGTCAAAAAGAAACGTTTGCCCCAGTCTCTCCACAGCTTCAGTAGCCTCAGAGCCAGGAGGCCTTTAAATAACCATGTAACCCAGATTAAGTGTCATTCCTTTAAGGAATTCCTTGATAATAAGAGGAAACTTAAAAAGATGAGCTTACTTAGCACTGTGAGCTCTGTGACCCCTCTAGGTGTCCTCCAGACCGAAATGAGTGGAACTCCAACTTCAAAGAACTATGCTTGACTCTTAGGATGGGCATTTCATAAAACTTCTCAGATGGCTACATATTTTTTAATATTGTTCACTTCCTCTATCACCACCCCTCACTTCTCAAGGCTGTGGATCCTACTTTCAGGGTAGCAGCTGTGGCTGGAAATCCTAAATTAGTCTTGCTTAAACTCATCATGTCCCACAAGAACTAGTGGGGCTGGAGATGGGAGTGAGAAGAGGTATGGCCCATGGGTGGAAAGAATAAAAACTTTGAAAGAAGAGATTTAATTACATGCAAAATAGAAACATTTAATATTGTCTGCTTGGTGTTATCTGCCAGGATATTTCTGAGAGCAAGGTGATAACATTGCCTAGAAACTGTTTGAATTTCTCTAAGAAACCTGAAAGTGAAGTGACCATATCTCTTCACAAATAATTGCATATTTTGTTGATGTGGTAAATGTAGTTGCTATGACATAAAGATCAGAAATCTTAGCCTGTCATTCAGAGCCATTCAATATATGGTCCTCATATAACTTTCAACATATTGTCACTCCACTTACATAAACCCCAAACACTAGCCAAGGTGAACTATTCTTCTCTCCCCAAACATTCCATGAACTTTCCCATGGCCATATTTTGGCCCACACTATTCTTTCCACCTGCAGTGTTCCTTCTTCACATGCCAGTCTACCAAATCCTTCCAGTTTCTCAAAGCTCAGTTCAGAGGTCACCTTCTCTATGTAGCCTCTTGATTTCCCCCAAATGAATGTGACATTAGTCTCTGCGATGCCCCTTTCTCACAGCACTTCATACCTGGTACTGATTCCATTATGTTACTAATCTCATGCGATCCTGTGTTCTTGTATTCTTCAATACCTCTTACTAGACTGTAAAACTTATTGAAAGCAGGGATTCTTGTAAGCATTTTTAAATCTTCCATTGTGCCTGGGTGCTCAATAATGTTGGTTGAATTATTGAATTAATTATCAAGCTGTGATATGGTATATCCTCAGGGTGCTGTCCCTTGTACATGAAGATAATGTTATTGACTCACTATCAGCAAGACACATGCCTTTGGGCTGTGTTTTTGTTTTCTTTTAATAGTGGATTTAGTTTTGTGCTAATGATAATGATGCTGCTGCTGATAATAATAACAATAAAAAATTACTTTCAACTGGAATATTTGATGAGTTTGTGTTACTGATGTCATGTTTGCTATCAGCACCAGTTCATAAACTGAAATTTCATAAACAGAATCACACTGTATAACTGTCCCATTTGTTTCAACTCTGGGATTTTGAAGATTTCCAAGATAACGTGTGTTATAGATTTCCCTTACAGATATCTTGATAATGCCCTCTACTTGCATCTCCTTACTGAACCAAATTTGTCCTTTATTTGTCTTATGTGGTTGTAGATTTAGCAGTGAGAACTTCCCACTGAACGCCACAGAAATTAAAGACACAGTTGTTGGAGGTATGATGTCAGAGAGCATTTGCCGCCAAGGTTGGCAGAAAATGGCTGGTCCGAGAGAGATGAAGATGAATTTCCACATCTGTAGATCTGGATGTGTTGGGACAGTACTCAACTTGTGGATTCAAGGAAGTATGAACACAGAGTCTACATAATGAAGGGAAAAAGATACATTTATCTCCCAAGTACATTGTTGATTTCTACTTATGTCACTGTGTCCATCCATTTCCCTTTCTTCATTTTAACATCTTATTTAGAAATAATTTCAAACATGTAAAAATGTTGCAAGCATAAATAAAGCTTAAAGAACACCCATGTACCCTTTACCCAAATTCACCTGTAATTAACGTTTCTCCCCATTTACTTTATTACTTGTGCCCTCTCTCTATACACACACAGGATATTTTTTCCCTGAACTATCTGAGAGTTGCATACATCAGTTTTCGATATTACTAGATTCAATGTTTGTAGATCCAAATTCTTTTTTAAAAGACTGTGTTTTATCTCTGTGACAATGGCACAGTTATTACAGAGTATTTTAAAATGAAAACTCACATGGTATATGTGATACTGTGAAATATATACTTGGTCTTCGATCCTGTTTCCTGGCATACAGCTCCTAAAATCCTTAGAGTTTCCCAAGTGATATTCTTTTTGTATGCTAATGATTGACTGATGGCTGGCAGCCCATGGTTGCTTCAGGATGGGAACTGGTCACCAGAAAGACCAAGGCACCATTAGGGGGTTGGGACTTAACAGCCTCATTCCTGATCTTCAGGGAGAAGAGAGGGGTGGAAAGTTAAGTTGATCACTAGTGGCCAATGATTTAATCAATCACGTCTATGTAATGAAGCTTCCATAAAATCCCAAAGAACCGGGTTTGGAGAGCTTCCAGATAACTGAACAGGCGGAGGTTCCTGGAGGGTGGTGCCCCAGGGAGGGCATGGAAGCTCTGAGCCCCTTCCCCAGTACCTCACCCTATCCATCTCTTCATCTGTGTCCTTTGATATGTCCTTTATAATAAACTGGTAAACATTAAGTATTTTCCTGACATCTGTGAGCCTTTCTGGCAAATTAAACCCAAAGAAGGAGGTCATGTGAACTCAAATTTGAAGCCCATCTGTCAGAAGTTCTGGAAGCCTGGATTTGCAACTGGTGTCTGAGGGGCCTGGGAACAGTCTTGTGAGACCTAGTCCTCAGCTTGTGGGATATAATGCTATCTCCAGGTAGATTGTGTCAGAATGGAATTGGAGAACACCCAGCTGGTGTTCGCTACAGAATTGATTGCTCACTTAGTGTGTAGGAAGACCCCACACATTTGGACATCGAAATCTTCTGTGTTGATTGCTGTGATGTGAGAGCAAAAGAAAAAGTTTGCCTGTTTTCCCTTCAGAGTGTGTTTTAAAGCTAAACTGGTAATAATTGCTTAAATTCACTGTATTTGTCTTTATGAAAACTTTAAATTTACATTATGTATGTTGAAACTTGAAGCTATGCAATTATCAACATGGATTTACAACTAAAGCATGTTATAATTTAAATAATTGAGTTTTTCAAATTGGTTCGTATAAAATCATAGGCAATATTGTAAAATTATTCAGACCTGTCAACTTTTTCCACTTAAATCTTCTGAGCAAAATTTAAGAAGGTAGTCATTTTCTGGTAATTTTAAATGTCAATATTAATATTTAGTTTGGTGATGTTAATGTGGCTATACTTTCTGATATTAAAAATAACTCTTGGGAGTTGAGATTAATAAAACAAGGAGTTAATAAATATCTATATCTGTTTAAAGACATAAAATATACAACTAAAAACTACTTGGTATACATAAAAGACAAAATATACACTAAAACTACTTGGTATAAAAAGTTAAGGAAAAAGAATAAAAAGTAACCATACAGCACAATATATGCATGATACATATTTTTATCTAAATATAAACTATAGCAACTTTTCTAAAGCTCAAGGTGAAATAATAAGTAACCAACGTTTTATGACAAATCATTATATGGTTTACTTAGACTTAATTTCACTTTTAGAATTGATTTTTAAACATTAAATGGCATTATAATTTTACTGGGATAACTACATATAGTGTAGTATATTGAAGTTAATAAAATAACGTTGCGTATGAGAGAAAAAGCATAATAAATCAGAAACAATATAAAAAGCTTTTATAAAAAAATAAGATAAAAATACCATATTTCTCTAGTTTGTTCACTTGCCAATATCTCTGATTCTTTCATATCATCTTGCTTTCCTCAGATCTTTTACTGCCCTCTCCCTCATCATTTCCAATTGGTGACCTTGCTTTCTATTTAATTAAGAAAAGAGATACATTCAGAAGAGAATTGCCTTTTTAAAGAACAATTACAAAGACATTACCCATGTAGTAACCAGCCAGGGCAAGAAATGGAACTTTTTAATAAACTACTCCTCTCCCCCCACCACTGATGACATCCCTCCCTCCATCTTAGGGGTAGCCCCCATGCTGACTTTTGTGATAATCATTTCTTTGCTTTTGTTTATAGGTTTTCTTCCTTATAAGCATCCCTAAAGAACAGTTTTGTTTTACAGATGTTTGAACATTAAATGCTTTTTAAACTTGGAATTGTGACGATCTTGTTTCACTCCGCATTGCTTGTGAGACTCATCGATATTGTAGATAGCTGTAGTTGATCTATTTTTATTGTTGCACAGTTTACCATTGTATAGATATACCATAATTTATTCATGATAACTTTGAGGGACGTTCTGGTTGTTTGCAGGTTTTATTTTTACGGTTTATTAGTGTTATTGATATATAGTAATTGTATATGTTTATGGGGTACATGTGATATTTTGATACATGTTTACAATGTGTAATGATCAAATCAGGATAATTGGGATATCTATCAGCCCAAACATTTATTCATTTATTTTTGCGTTCGGAACATTCCAAATCTTCTAGCTATTTTGAAATACACAATAAATTGAATACTGTGGTCACTCCGTTGTGCTACTGAACACTAGAATTTATTCCTTCTCTCTGTATTTTTGCATGCATTAACCAATCTCTCTTCATTCACCCCTCTGCAGTACCCTTCCCAGCCTCTGGTAAACACAGTTCTACTCTCCATCTCCTTGAGATCAACTGTTTTAGCTCCCACATATGAGCGAAGACATGAGATATTTGTCTTTCTGTGCTTAGCTTATTTCACTACACATTTCACTTTACATAATGTCCTCGGAGCTCATGTATGTTGCCACAAATGACAAGATTGCGTTTTTTTTTTCTTATAGCTGAATACTATTAAATTGTGTACACATACCACATTTTATTTATTCATTTATTTATTGATGGGCACTTAGATTGATTCCATAGCTTGGATCTTCTGAATAGTGTCGCAGTAAACATAGGAGTGCTGATATCTCTTCAAGATACTGTTAAAAAATTTTTTTTTCGGATATATGCCCAGCAGCGAGATTGCTGAATCATAATGGTAGTGCTATTACTAGTTTTTTGAGGAACACCCATACTGTTTTCCATAATGGCTGTACCAACTTACATTCCCACTAACAGTGTATGAGAATTCCCCTTTCTCCACATCCTTGCCAGCATCTGTTATTTTTTTTGTCTTTTTGATAATGGCCGTTTTAACTGGGATGAGATGAAATCCAATTTTTGACTGTTACAAAACAGTGCTACCATGATTGATGTTGTACACAGGTATTTCTAAGGCATTTATGTAAGAATGGAATTACTGGTTTATGGAATATGAGCACCTTCAGTTTAATTGGATGATGCCTAACGTCCTCATGGCGTGTACCAATTCACATCCTTAATAGGCCGGTTTAATAGTTCTCATTGCTCCACCTACTGGCCAACACATGGTATTGTCAGACTTCTTAATTTTTGCCTATATAGTGGGTGTAAATGGCATCTCATAATTTGATTTTCCTGATTACTAATAATGTTGAGCATCTTTTCACATGCCAGTTGAACATTAGGATTTCCTCTTCTGTGAAGCATTTATTCTAGATATTTATCATTTTTTTCTGTTGGGCTGTATGACTTTTTCAAATTAATTTGAAGTTATTTAATTTTAGTTCTTTCTTTTTTATATGCGTTCCATACAACTCTCCCCACTTCGTCACTTATTTTTCCATTGTAATGATTTCTTTTGACTAACATAAGTTCTGAATGTAAGTTAGATATCAAAGTTATCAATCCTTTTTTATGGTAAATGCTTTTTGTGTCTTTTCAACGAAATCTTTCTATACCCCAATATCATAAAGATATTCCTTTATATGATAACATTTAAAATTTTTATGGTTTAGAT